TGTGCTTGTACATGCACCTACCTGGGAAATGGTTTTGAAGCCTGAAGGGTTTAACTGATCTTTTAGTGGATAAAAAATGGTGAATTATCCAAACAACCTTGCTTTTAAGGCATCAAATTCTACTTCTTTACAATATGGTTGTATTGCTTTTGTTCTCTTTTGTCCCATATTTCACAGTGTTTTCAGGTCCAAATCTTTGCACCTCAATCAACTTCTATACCTTTTCTCCTCTATACAACAGGTCAGTCAAGAGCCTCCTAGAGTTTACACCCCTAAATGCCTAAAAAGGTAACCTAAAAAAAGAAGGCTAACCCAGGAAGGAGACTGGGAGGAGTGGGAAGTCACTCTAAAGAAAACAGAAGGAGGTACACAGAACAGGCACGGGGAGGGTTTTGCTGCAGAGAAAAGGTATTTCTCACTGCTTTCTTCTGAGAACTTATGCTGCTAAGCCAAGAGTCAAAGGAGCTGCCGAAAAGTCTCTTTAAGCAGTAACTTTTTTTTTTCCCGCTTCTTCTGGGTCAGAATTAGAGGTGAGTTAACACTTGGGACTGAACATGATCTTGTCTCCTCCCTATTGGTTTCTTTCCACCACCTGCCCTTGGCTCCCAGGGAGACTCTATAAGATTCCTGTTGCATGGTCCCATTCTTCCAATGGAAGAAAAAGATTTTTTTCAAGATAAAATTTAAAAAATTGAACACTTGATGAGAGAGAGCATTTGACTAAAAATAAAAATAAAACACCTGAACAAAATATCAGCAAAATCCCATTAATGCCTATGACTCATTCAGTCATTAGGCAAAAACTTGAATGATTCTATGGAAGCATGTGGATTACTATTATCACTAGTAATTTTAAAACTTGTTTGTAAATCCCATCAACATTCACTTATAAAAATATGACTGCCTTACACAAAGGATATCAAGGGACTATTACAGGATATGAAAACCTGTTATATACAGTTATTATAATCAGGGTAGTGCTGGCCTAAGTATAAAAGTAGATCAATGTAATAGCTATGATAATAAAACATAAAGACATTAATTTTAGCAGTGTTTAGAGGAATTATTTCTCAATGTGTGACCTGTGGACTTGAATCATCTCACATGGGATGCTTACTACAAATGCAAATTGACAAGTCTTCTACTGAATCAAAATATTTCAGATGAGGCCCTGCATTTTTAACAAGCTTCTCTCACCATGGATCACATGAGCACCAAAGCAAATAGTGTTAAGGGGATCAAATCCTGAAATTTTACACAGAACTCTTCTAATATAATGAACTCTTGTTTTGGGTTCTTTTCCTAACTATCCTTCCCTCCTTGCATATTCTTCTGAATTCAAAATAAGTAGAGCAGCATTCAATAACACAATCAATTTCCTGAATCTGTATAATTTTAAAAGGACGAGAATCAGATTCCAGGTAGAAGATGTTCACTGAAAATGAGGTCAACAAGTCTGTCGTCCCCTTTCTGCAGAGAAATAAGTTTAGAGCATCCACATTCTTTCCTTTTGAGAAGCAAAACCATAAGTATGGCCTGGCATGACCTCCTTATAAAACTTTATTTTATATTTGAATATTTTCTATAAAATCCTTACCTCACGTTGAATTATAATTATCAATCATATTTCTGGAAAGTTTTGTTTCATAAAGGACTTTAGCCAAACTTACCACCTAAGTCTTTTTCGCATGTAAAATTTTTCAACCTAGAAATATACTAAGAGTGGGAAAATAACCTATTCATAGATTCAGGATTGAGACATGTAGCTAATTTATCCTTCATTTATCCTCTGGCAATATCCTCAAAAAGAACATTCACTCATTCAAATGGGGTGTAGGGATCCACAGAGTAAGACACAGGGAAACCATTTAACCACTGATGAATCTCCCCAGGCAACTTTTTAAAAGAAAGCTTTCATCAGGTTAGAATAAATGATGCATTATTCTATACAAATAGTAGTGATTGGTTTAGAACTGCCACACTACAGTACAATATTATTTATTAGACTATAATAAAATTAAGAGGCTCCATCTATTAAGATTACCATCCAAGTACACTTCATACTGGTTCCTTCCATTATATTCATTTTTGTGCCAGCAGGAAACATCTAACCCTCCAGTGTCATTACAGATTCCCAACAACAACTGGTATTTGCTACCTAAATACATACCATTTGAATGTGTTAATAAGACCCAGTGATCATCTGAATAACTATAAAATTAGTAACATAACATCAATAGATATAGGTACTAATTTCTTGAACATTCAGGTACTAAATAAATATGCCAGAAAACAAAGGATATGTCTCCAATATTGCATAATTGTCATATTGAGAGGGGAGTGGAAGGAGTAGGGGAGGAGGGGGTGATAGCCCAATTTCCATTCCTAATAAATCTGTTGAGAGACTACTGAAATAAAATTTTCTTCTTTTTCTTACACCTCTTTGCTATGTAACCTTCCCTCTCATTTCTTCACACCGAAATCTATATTTTGTATAGGATCAGGTACCAGATCAAAAATCAACAGAGAAGCCATAGGGTGTCAAGAGATAGGGATTATACCGTGTGCTATTATAGTAGAAAGTATAAGGACAGATCTAAATTCAGTTCAAACTTCAGTTCCATCAGTTATTAGTACGATCTAGAGTCACCATTTCTCTGAGGTACTTTTGGTTTTTTCTATAAAGTTTTTGTGCCATGAAAACAGGGGGAGAAAGATTTCAATTTTTCAGTCAACAAGGCAAAAAAAGAGGACAAGTAATCAGATGCACAATAAAGGCAAGCATATTTTATAACATCAAATGGGAGCTAGGCAGCCCTTTGACAAATCGCTAAATTTTTAGAGCCTAGGTGACTGTTTCAGTTTTCCCTTTAAAAAAATGTGAATAAATATAGATATATACATACACACATAAATACACAGCTTAATATAAATTCAAAAGGAAATCAGGCCGGGCGCTGTGGCTCACGCCTGTAATCCTAGCTCTTGGGAGGCCGAGGCGGGCGGATTGCTCAAGGTCAGGAGTTCAAAACCAGCCTGAGCAAGAGCGAGACCCCGTCTCTACTATAAATAGAAAGAAATTAATTGGCCAACTGATATATATATAAAAAAAATTAGCCGGGCATGGTGGCGCATGCCTGTAGTCCCAGCTACTCGGGAGGCTGAGGCAGGAGGATTGCTTGAGCCCAGGAGTTTGAGGTTGCTGTGAGCTAGGCTGACACCACGGCACTCACTCTAGCCTGGGCAACAAAGCGAGACTCTGTCTCAAAAAAAAAAAAAAAAAAAAAAAAGGAAATCATATTATTCATCCTGGGGATTTTATGGTTTTTTTCCTTTCTTTACTCTCTACTTCAATACTCCCCATGTTAATAAACAAGTGTATGTGTATCCTTTCTTGTTTTTCCTCAATGTAATCACATACATAATTCATATATACATACATGCAGATACATACATAAACATATAATAGGCTTTTTCTGAGAGACTGATATTACCTATACTTCCCTGCATATTGTTTTCTTCACTATCTTATGCAAATCCCTCCTAGTCAAGTGGTATAGCTCCATTTCATTCTTTTTAAAGGCTAGCTAATATTCCATGGTGTGTAGGTAACATGTTCTATCTATCTACTTACCTACTGATAGATTTTCACTTTGTTTCCCATTTTATGACACCTGAAACCATGCTGCAATGAACTTCTTGTGCAGGCTCCATTGCATGTGGGTTGTTTTGCACCTATTGGCTAAAATTCCAGGAGTGGCATTATTGGAGCAAAGAGAGTACATATAATTCATGTATTTTTCATTTTAATAGGTGTTACCAGATTATTTTTCAAAAAGGTACTACCAATCCCCTTTTCCATTAGCAATGTATTATACAGTACCCTTTTCTCTTCTAGTAATAGATATATTGTAATTTTTGCCATTTACAATATAATAGATATATTGTAATCTTTTCAAAAAGATATTTTTGAAAATATCTTTTCAGATACTTTTCTGCCATTGAGATGGATTATTTTGTGACTTGTAACTTCCTTTTCCTACTGTTCTACTGCGATGTCTGTATATTATATTATTAACTCTTTGTCATCTGCTTTGCCAATATTGTTTTCTTAAATCTCTTGCCTGTCCATTAATTTAATGGTATCTTCTATTATACAAATGTTTTTAAACATTTATATGGTCTAATGTTTGTTTTTTTAAGGCCTTAGATGGGGAGTCAGTACACTAGGATTTGCGTACTGTTATTATAAATAAAGGTTTATTGAAACACAGCCTTGTCCATTCATTTATGTGGCAAAGTGGAATAATTGCAACAGAAATTATGTAGCACACAAAGCCTAAAATATTCAGTATCTGACCTTTTAGAGGAAAAAAGATTGGCAACACTTGCTATATAGAATGTTGAGAAAACGGGACTATTCCCAGCCCCAATAGAATTTAGGATCTAAAGGATTTTTGTGTTTTATTCATTGCTAGAACAGTATCTGGCAAGTAGTACAGACTAATTTTTAGAATTAATGCAAGGTCTCCTTGCTTTTACATTCTCAATACAAAACAGAGCTAAGTATTAATGATATTTTAATACTGTTAATATAAAAAAATTTTTCTTAGAAATATACAATTTTATTATATAAAATTTTATTGTGAAAAATCAGTAAGAGGCCGGGCGCAGTGGCTCACGCCTATAATCCTAGCACTCTGGAAGGCTGAGGCGGGCGGTTGCTCAAGGTCAAGAGTTCAAAACCAGCCTGAGCAAGAGTGAGACCCCGTCTCTACTATTAATAGAAAGAAATTAATTGGCCAACTAAAAACATATTATAAAAAATTAGCCAGGCATGGGGGCGCATGCCTGTAGTCCCAGCTACTCGGGAGGCTGAGGCAGGAGGATCGCTTGAGCCCAGGAGTTTGAGGTTGCTGCGAGCTAGGCTGATGCTGCAGCACTCTAGCCCAGCCAACAAAGTGAGACTCTGTCTCAAAAAAAAAAAAAAAAGAGGCTGAAGATCCGGGGCCTAGGGGCCGCCTCCAGCGCCACAGGATGTAGCCCCGGGCAGAGCCTGCCCTCCCGGCGTGTCTACCATCACAGGGAGATCTCTGCCCCCTGGGGCTGAGAGACCCCAACCTTTCCCCAAGCTGAAGCTGCAGGGCCTTGAGGTACCAGCCAGATGTTCTTCTCACAAAGGATCTGTGGTAGCACAGGGCAATGGGGCTTTTGCCAGCAACAGGGAAACAGACACAGTGGAACTGGCTGAACTGGGACCCCTGCTAGAAGAGAAGGGCAAACGAGTGATCGCCAATCTGACCAAAGCTGAAGAAGAGCAAACATGCCCAGTGCCCCAGGAAGAGGAGGAGGAGGTGCGGGTGCTGACGCTTCTCCTGCAAGCCCACCACGCCATGGAGAAGATGGAGGAGTTTGTGTATAAGGTCTGGGAGGGACGCTGGAGGGTCATCCCATACGATGTGCTCCCCGGCTGGCTGAAGGACAATGACTACCTGCTACATGGCCACAGGCCGCCCATGCCCTCCTTTCGGGCTTGCTTCAAGAGCATCTTCCGCATCCACACAGAAACTGGCAACATCTGGACCCAACTGCTTGGTTTTGTGCTGTTTCTGTTTTTGGGAATCTTGACCATGCTTAGACCAAATATGTACTTCATGGCCCCTCTACAGGAGAAGGTGGTTTTTGGGATGTTCTTTTTGGGTGCAGTGCTCTGCCTCAGCTTCTCCTGGCTCTTCCACACTGTCTATTGTCATTCAGAGAAAGTCTCTCGGACTTGTTCCAAACTGGACTATTCAGGGATCACTCTACTGATTATGGGGAGCTTTGTCCCCTGGCTCTATTACTCCTTCTACTGCTCCCCACAGCCACGGCTCATCTACCTCTCCATCGTTTGTGTCCTGGGCATTTCTGCCATCATTGGGTTTGCCACTCCTACGCACCGGCAGACGAGAGCAGGAGTGTTCCTGGGACTTGGTCTGAGTGGTGTGGTGCCCACCATGCACTTCACCACCGCGGAGGGCTTCGTCAAGGCCACCACGGTGGGCCAGATGGGCTGGTTCTTCCTCATGGTTGTGATGTACATCACTGGAGCTGGCCTTTACGCTGCTCGAATTCCTGAGTGCTTCTTTCCTGGAAAATTGACATATGGTTCCAGTCTCATCAGATTTTCCATATCCTGGTGGTGGCGGCAGCTTTTGTCCACTTCTACGGGGTCTCCAACCTTCAGGAATTCCGTTATGGCCTGGAAGGTGGTGTACTGATGACTCCCTTCTCTGAGCCTTCCCACCCGAAGGGTGGAGGAGGAGCTTCCCAAGTGCTTTTAAAAAAAACTTCTTTGCTGAAGTGAGAGGAAGAGTCTGAGTTGTCTGTTTCTAGAAGAAACCTCTTAGAGAATTCAGTACCAATCAAGCTTCAGCCCACTTTCACACCCACTGGGCAATAAACGTAACATGTCCATTCCCCTAGCTGGGGAGCGTGGGGATGGCCAAACTTAGTCATCCCCCTCCTCAGCAAGGCAACTACCAGCCCCTCACAGAGACAGTACCTTGAAACTCATGTTGAGATTTTATCCCTTCCTCCACCATTTTGGGAAGAAATTATGGACTGGGACTCTTCAGAAATTCTGGGGTTTTTTTTTCTGGAAGAAAATGTCCCTTCCTTACCCCTATCCTTACTTTGTAACCTGGCTTATAACAGGCCAGCCATTTTGTAGCACACTTTTCAAAAATGATTATATAACCTGGTCCCATCTTTCTAGAGCTTGGATCTGCTTACACAGCAGGAAGAATAAAGCCACCAACTTTTACATAGGCCGGCTAATCATGAAAGTGTGGCCAGGCTTCAAATAACTTGAGTTTTAATTTTTTTTTCTTGGCAGAGTAATATAAAATTAAAATGGGGAAAGATATTTAATACTAAGCTTTAAAAAGAAACCTGCTATCATTGCTATGTATCTTGATGCAAAGACTATGATGATAATAAAAGAAAGTACAGAAGACACTTGGCATTCAAAGAGAGAGAGAGAGAGAGAGAGAGAGAGAGAGAGAGAGAGAGAAAATAAAAATCCATTTCCAGATCCTCAATGATTGGATATGGAGGAAAAAACTTGTAATGAAAAAGAAATATCATATGATCACATACATGTCAAGAAAGAGTATACTGTGCGAGTACAGGGCAATTACAGTTCCAATAAACTGGAATTTAAAATTAAAAAAGTTGAAGCAGCAGCAAGTAGATGAAAGGCGGCCTCTTTCACATTTGCTCCTGGAGTCCAGCAACTCTCAGCAGTTGGCTGGAGACTAAGCTGGATGATCCTGTGGAGCTCCAACAAAGGGACGAAACAAACTCAAGTCCCCAGGGCCCCCCTCCCGACAACGCATGAAACAACTTGATAAATGATTGCTCTGTCAGGGGACTAGGAGATGGAGACGTCTGGGAGCAGAGGGGGAATGTATCTAATTTAGGAAGCCAAGGGGGAAGGGGAAGACAGAGAAGGCAGAATGGCAGACGGGGCAAGATCACCTTGTAACACAGTCAACCACAGAACCTAGATACAAACACCACAAAACCCAACAGCATCTCAAAGAACGGAAGTCATTAGACTTTAACAAGAGACTTCTCACAATCTATTTCTTCCTAAGTCACTAGTATTTTAGAGGGAAAGTTTTCACCTTCCATAGCCCATTCTCTAGCCTCAAGTCCAAGCTTAAGAAAGCACTGCTCTTATGTCACTTCATTCATTTGGGGATGACATGAAATACAAAATCCATTCCCATCACCCCCAGCCCATGCCTAAAGAGTGCTGATTCAGAATTGAAAGCCAGAAGCACAAGAGCCCAAAGTTTAGCTCAATTTAAGGAAATATTAATTACCCTAAAACAAAAACAGAAGGAGTTCACATCTAGGGCACAACACTTAAATTCTCCTCCTACCTCTCCTCAAGAGTGTGTGCACCAGCTATTATATAACCTCTTGCTGACTGCAGATTGACACTGGTCCCATAGGACCTCCCTGTTTGGGGAAAACTCACTGGTGACAAACTCAGCACTGCATAGGCATTTCAGGAGTAGACACAGAAGCCATCTCAACTTGAAAAGGGGGCTTGTCAGAATTGGCAGTGGTATAAACATCAGGTTTTCAAAATCAGTTACCCAAAGAGCAGTTAATTCAAAAGGGATATTCTTATAGCTTAAGCATCTCATTAAAGACCATAAAGACCATCAAGTAAGTTTACATGTCAAAGGCAGAAACAAACAAGCATCATGTAAAGAATTCTGACCTGACCCAAGTCCTTCTTATGATACTCCAAGTTCTTATTTGACTAACTAGAGGACAGGTAATACTGTTGCTATAATAAAGTATTGTGTGTTGTATTACTGCGCATAAAACATTAAAAGCTGAATCGAGATTGGACATAAATAAGCATAATTAAAACAAACAGCAAGCTGTATAGCAAAAAAGTGAAGCCAGGGAATTTACCTTTTCTGATGCCCAGTGCTCTTGGAAGGTTACTTATAATTCATATGCTATGGCCCCAAATCTATTACAGTATATTTCAGAACATCTGATATATTAATTAATGGTTAGAGAAGCACTACATAGTCTAAGTGACAGAACAACCATGAGGAAAAGAAATCACAATTTAGTTGGGTTGAGGGTCCTGCTCCTATTAGTGTAATTTTTCTTGAGGGTAAAAAGAGATCCAGTCAGGCTATTCTAGGAAAAATACATTTATGGCCTTTCTAGAATTTTCATTAAACAAAATTGGGTATCCTGTGAACAATTTCACTTGCTAATCCCCCAGACACATTCCTTGTCAGTTTATATACCTCCTAAAAGGATCCTCCTAGGGCTTCCTAAAAATTTGGAGATGAGAGAAGGGGTACTGAACCATGGATCTTACTTTGAGATGAACTAATTCTAACCAACAACTCACTGAAGTACGGTCTTGGAATTATACAACCCTGTCTCCAAATTCTACATGGTTTTCCAATCTTTCTGTCAAGGTCTGGGTCTTATAAATATAGGTAAATTCCTGCTCACGAACTGTCTACCTTAATCACAGAATTTCAGAATTTGAAAAGATTTATGGGTTACCTCTGTGGTCCCCAACCCCCCAAAGATGGCTACCAGTCTGTGGCCTGTTAGGAACCTGGCTGCACAGCAGGAGGTGAACAGGCAAATGACGCCATTTGCTCATCTCCTCACTGCTCTCATCACAGCATAAACTCAGCCTCCTGTCAGATCAGCTGTGGTATTAGAGTCCCACAGGAGTGAGAACCCTGCTGTAGATTGCACATGCAGGGGATCTAGGTTGCACGTTTCTTATGAAAATCTAATGCCTGATAATCTGAGGTGGAGCTGGGGCAGTGATGCTAGGGCTGGGGAGAGAGTGCAAATCATTAGCAGAGAAGTTGGGGACTGCTGGGTTAAGTAGTCAAAGTTTCATCTGATACATAAGAGATACAAAGGTTCATCTGATGCTGCAAACTGGTAGCATGCATAAATGTTCATTTGGGTCTGCAGTTTTATCTTTCTTGTTTTTGTTTAACTGGCTGTCCAACATTTTTTAAAAAAATTTTGGGAGAATTTGCATAAAAATCCAGGTATCTCCCTTCTCTTGAAAAAACTCAGGTCTGGTTCATGGTTCTTCATAATTCAGCTAGAGTTAATTGGTAGCTCCACCTGTTATAGCCTAGACATGGACCCTCCAGTACACCAACTGTATACATCAGGCCCACTCTCTCATCAAGTCCGACCCTCTAGGTTATCGAAGTTCTGACATCCAGCTCTACAAATTCAATGAGTGATGTGTGTAGTCTGTAGTAGAACAACTCTGAGCATGTGTTCTTTTCCAAGTTACACGTTCAAGGTCCTTTCTTTCCATCAGTCTCAGATGTGAATTGCTCTCCTCTTAAAGTTCCCCTTGACTTAATACTACCCTTTCACCTGTAACACCCAGGATTAAAAACTACTCTGACCAGTTAAAGCAGGACTCACACTGCCTTTATTCTGAACAGCAGTAGGCAAAAGTGTTCCATCACCCAAAATGGCTACAAAAGAAACTGCTAAACAAAATATATATAAACAGAACATAAGTAAGACAGAAGGTGACAGCTTAGCTAGGAAAGAAAAAGGAGTTCCAATCCACGGTTAGGGTGAATTTATTTCTAGGTTGCCAAAAAAGGGATTAAAGATGACGGCCTACTGAGTTAAGGTCCTCAAAGTTAGATTGGTGTTTGCTCCTAAAAACTTCCTATCACCACCATTTAAAGCAGTGTGTCCTAAAGCAAGATCCTTAGTCTACCTGCATCAGATCTCCAGCACTAGGTTTCAGAAGCAGCATTTTAAACAAGCAAACTAATGGTTCTAAAACATACTCAAGGCCGGGCGCTGTGGCTCACGCCTGTAATCCTAGCTCTTGGGAGGCCGAGGCGGGCGGATTGCTCAAGGTCAGGAGTTCATAACCAGCCTGAGCAAGAGTGAGACCCCGTCTCTACTATAAATAGAAAGAAATTAATTGGCCAACTGATATATATATATAAAAATTAGCCGGGCATGGTGGCGCATGCCTGTAGTCCCAGCTACTTGGGAGGCTGAGGCAGAAGGATTGCTTGAGCCAGGAGTTTGAGGTTGCTGTGAGCTAGGCTGACGCCACGGCACTCACTCTAGCCTAGGCAACAAAGTGAGACTCTGTCTCAAAAAAAAAAAAAAAAAAACATACTCAAGTTTGAAAAATAACTAAATTCTAGTAAGGGTGCCAAGAAGGGTGTGTGGTCAAGTCTCTATAAGACTTCTGCAAAGAGAAGCAAAAGCTCTTTTCAGGTTTTTTTTTTTTCTTTTTTAACTCTCCTGGATAATGGAGTGCTTAGCACATAGTAGGCACTCATTTATTCAATAAAACGTTTTATCATCTCTGTGCTTCACTTTAAACACTGGAGAATGAAGTATTTCTCAACCTATTTTTCATTACCGTCCCCTTAGGGAACTTTTTTAGATCCCCCCCCATTTATCTCTAAACCATGAAATTTTAATATTACAGATATTTATATACTGCAGCCACACCCATTGTAATAGCAAAGATTTTTTTCACCATCCTCCCCTCTCCACACACGAGAAAGAACCAATTTTCACCCCCTCAGGAGCAATAACACCCCCTTAAGAATGCATTCAATTGTATTTGAGTATTCACAGTAATAATGCAGTGACAGGAGAGAATGTAACTCTAATTATAATTTATTTAACCAAACCAACCACAATTTGAGTTGATATGTTACTGAAGAAGTTAAAATCAGTTCCACACATAAACTTGCCCTAAGCTGGGTAGTACACTAACAGTATTCCTTTTAAACCTATCAACTATGATTGAGACAAATTACATATGAAAAGTATTTCTAAAGATTTTTTAGATGTGGCAATACTAGGCCTTCACACCCATAGTGATTTTAACCAGTAAGTGTTATCGCTCATATCAGTTCAAAGAATTAACCCTCCTGCTTGCCAATGATATGTGTTCCGCCCCAAAAGTAATGCAGCACTTAGGCTATCAGAAAAGTACCAGGAAAAACACCATGCAGAGTATGTCATATTTACAACATCACTAAAGCATGTGTCATCAGGGCCAATATAGAAAAATCTATGAAAGCTATAATCAAAAAGACAGATAAAAACAAGTGTTGGCAAGGGTGCAGAAAGACTGGAACCCTCATACACTGCTGGTGAGAATGTAACATGGTTTAGTAACTTTGGAAAAGCCTGGCAGCTACTCAAAAGGTTAACCATATACCCAGAAATTTTACTCACACACACACACACACACACACACACGCCCAAGAGAAATGAAAATAAACAAAAACTTATATAAGAATAGCAGCATAATGAATAATAGCCAAAAGTGGAAACAATCCCAAATGTGCATCAACTGATGAATGGATAAACAAAATGTGATATTAGCCATACAATGGAATATTATTTGGCAAAAAAGGAACAAAGCACTAATACCTGCTTTGAGAGAA